ACAACAACAACAAATAGAGAATAAAATCCCCTAAATAAAATAAATCCAAGGATGACCCTTTTAAAGTACAGAAGGTGGAACCCTGGTCTAGGAGAAGTCAGAGGCAACATTTACATGGACTTTAAAGGAGAGGTTTCATTTACTCTAAGGTGTAAAACCACACAGTGCTGCTGTGCATAGCATGGTACAAAATACATGTGCTGAGTTTCACACAGAGCATTCAGGGAACATGTTGATAAATGCAAGATGAGGAACAGGCGGACTAACAGACAGACTTGGTTATATTTTAATCTGGTTTTCTGTTACCTGCAGGTGTTACAGTTAAAATGTTCTAAAAAGTTACTATATACCCTAAATTCTAAACAGTTACTGAAAGGACAGCTAGAAACTCTAATAGTAAAGCAAACACGCTCCTTTAAAAGTTTCCTTATTAAAAAAAATAATTAAAAAGGAGGGGAGAAAGTATGTCTGAAGCACAAAGATGACATCAGAAAAGTTCCTCAATTCACAGATGGCTGCACCTTTCAAAAAAAATTAAAACAGGAACCCTAGATTGATTTAATCACCCATACAAGCGAAAAAACGTAATGAAGATATTTAGTGCCAAATTGGTTTCTTGGGACCTTTTCCATGTAAATAATACAAATCAAACCTTGAAGTTCAGTGCAGATATGATCTGACAAGTAAGCCAGGCTTTTTGTTTTCCTTTGATCCAGCTCCAGAAATATTTTATCCAAGGTAAAGTTGGTTTTAAGTGTTTTCCATTTCAGTTTTTAATTTTGGATATTCATCATATAGGAAACTTGCTTATAATGCTTCAAACACCAGGCTACACTGACTCACAGCACCAAACCTAAAGATTTTCTTGTATTTGCTTGTAAGAGGGGGAATATCAAGGACTCCCAATGTGCCACAGGATCAATTTCCATTGCTTGGTTACTTTTAAGGGTACAGGAAACATGGACAATCCCAGCTGAATATTTACAAACGTCAAGACAAGCAGCTACAGTATTTTTTGTACTGTTCCACTTCCCCTAGGTGTGTTGGGGAATAATACTTGTGAAGATAACAAGATGGACAGGCCTTTGCTTTGGCCTAAGTGATTCCTCAAATTCCCCATAAACTGTCATTCCCTTAAGAGGCCATCTGGGAGCAACAGTGCCTTCTCTTGGAAGAAAATTTTCATGTGTTAGGGTTTTTTGTTTGGTTTTTTTTTGGGAGGGGGGGTGGTTGGTCTTTTTTGGGGTTTTTTTCATTTGTTTGTTTGATTGGTGGGGCTTTTTGGGTTTTTTTTTAAATTTTTGGGTGGTTTTTTGTTTGTTTTGTTGTTGTTGTTGCTGTTGTTTTGGGTTTTTTTTGTATTTTACTTCTCTGATTCTGTTAAAAATAAAAATTAAAAAAATCTTTTTCTATTCCATTTTCAAACCAGGATGTAGATTCTGCAGTCCAGAAATATATACATAAACCTGAACTTGTTCACAGTTTTCAGTGCTGTGTGCCTAAATACAGATTTAGGCACCTTGCTGTAGGCATGCAGTTTTCAAAAATTCAGCTCTTGTCAATAATGTAAAATCCTGTGGATTCTCTTCCTTCCACAAATTGGTATGTAGTATATTTAGAATTAACAGGGCCCATTTTCTCTTTTGACTCGAGTATGTGGTGTAAGGTTAATGAAAATAAGATGGATGTTTTATTTTGGGTCTTACATATAATATTATTAAATGTGCCCACCAGAAATGTAGGATAAAATATTTGCTCTGCTTGAAGATTATGTGATATTTGTATTCTAAGCCTCACCACAGTGGGTTTCTTTAAATAGAAGCTATACTTTACTCCTAAATTGCTTAAGGCAAAGGAAGCAGAGATGATGTTTTTATGAATGTTTAAATGCAAATGGAACTGAGAGTGAATGCTATGCTAGCTAACATCAAAGGCTCACCAAAGTCTCTGCATTAATGAGGCTCTTTGTTTCCTGGATCACAGATTACAACAGGTTTCCAACTCATTGCCAAGGCTTTATCTCCATTTGGGAGGGCTGTAAATCTCAGACGATTTTTTTCACATGCAAAACAAGAGGATCATCTGAAAGAAGAAGGAAAAAAAATCTTAAAGTAGCAAATATTTCATTCAAATGATTATTCCTCAAAGTGGCTGCATCTTGTTTTATTTTTGGGATGTTTAAAAGAATGGAAATTTGCCAACGGAGTTTCCTATGGGGCAGTTTATTCATTTGGAGGAGAAAACTAAGCAGGAAAAAAGCAAACAGCATCCTTCCCATCTTCTTCAGCCAGGCATCAACTGTGCCCCAAAATCAGAGCAATAATTCTATGTCATGCAAAATCAGCAATTAGCAGAAAGACAGATTTTGCTCCATTTAAATATATTCAAGTACTTTTCAAAGTGGCTCCAACTAGTTCTTCTCCTCCCCAAAAAGTAATGAGATTATATCCCTAGTAATAATACCCTAATTAACAAGAGAAGTAGGGACCAAGATTTTTAGCTTCCTATTCAAGGGCTGAATGTGACAATATGTTGTATATTGGGTCATAAAAAACAATTTACATGGCGTCATTACAGTCTGTAGCAAAGTCTCCAGGACCCAGGGCTATCTTGTGCAATCTTAATTAAGGAAAATAAATATCGGTGTGTTGTTTTAAGCTACTGGAGACATGCACAGGACCTGTCGTGTGTGATCAGAAGAGATGGGGAGTTTCCTTTTCCATGGGAACTGCTTAAAAAACCCTCCGACGCCGACACACAAGTGTCTAGTGCCTTCGAAATGGGCTGCGAAGATGGTAATTTCTTGTTTCCTGACCCTCGGGGCCAGGCAGGAAAACTAATAATTTTCTGCCACCCCACGTCACGTCTGTGCTGCGAAGGGGCCGAGGGTGCGGTGGCGGCAGCGCCGCCCGTGCCCGGCGTGCACGGAGGGTGGCCAGGGGCACCCACGTGTGGCACGGGTGTGGCAGCAGCACAGCTGGCAATGGGCAGTGTGTCTGTCTGTCTGTCTGTCTGTGTGTGTACACACGTGTGCTGTGTGTGCCTGAGCTCAGGTATCCGTGCCCTGATGTGTCAGTGTGTGTTTGTTCATGTGTGTCCGTCTGTGCACACACACAAGTCCTGGTGTTGCAGTGTGTTTGTACACACATCCCAACAAGTTTCAGTGCACACATACACGTGCTGAGGTGTGTCTGTGTGCACACATACCCGTCCTGATGTCCTGCTGTGTACACGTGTGTCTGTTCATGCATGTCTGTGCACACATACCCATCCTGGTGTCCTGCTATGTACACGTGTTTGTTCATGCATGTCTCTCTGTGCACACATACCCATCCTGGTGTCCTGCTATGTACACGTGTGTGTGTTCATGCATGTCTCTCTGTGCACACATACATGTCCTGATGTCTCAGTGTGTGCACACACATTGGTGTGTTCTCATGTGAGCTGTGTGCACACACATGCACTGATGTGTGTCAGCAGTACCATGTCTGGCCTTCTGTCCTCTGTGTTTATCATGTGCTGCTGATCAGTGCTTGTAGATTCGTAGGCGCATGTGAGCATGCAGATGTGTTTGTGTGTGCAGCTGTGTGTGTACAGATTCCTGTGTGTGCCAGATGTGTAGCTGTGTATGCTGATGTGTGCAGTTATGTGTTCTTTTTCATGTTACATGTTCTATTGTGCTGGTGTATCTGGGGCTGTGTGTGGATCCCTCTGCCGTGTGCTGCCATGTGAGTGCTCGTGTGTGCCAGATGTGCAGCTGTGTGTGCTGTGTGTGTGCAGCTGTACATACACCCCTGTAGGGACCTGTGTGGGGCTGTGCAGATCCCGACACGTGCTGACGTGTGTGCACACACAGGTAAGTGTGGCTGTGTGTGAGGTGTGTGCCTGCAGCTGTGTGTGTGAGGCAGCACCGACTGCTGCAGGTGCATGCTCTGCCGTGGGCATGCAGGAGTGGCTGCAGGCCAGCCTGTGCCACGGTGGTGTGCAGATGTGTGTGTGCAGGGATGGGGACGGGCACAGATGTGTGCGTGTGTGCTCAGATGTGTGTGCTCAGATGTGTGTGCAGGCACGTCCGCGTGTGCACACAGGTAGGCACAGGTGCGTGTGCAGATGTGCGAGCAGAGATGCGTGTGTGTCACAGCCGTGCACACAGACACGCGGGGCTGCACCCAGCCCCCGGTGCTGCCCACCCCACACCCCCACAGCCCCCCGGGCCGGGAGGGGGTCACCCCGCCACAGCGCGGTGTTAAAGGCCGGCTGCGCCTTTAACGCAGGGACTTGGCGCGGCAGCGCGTGTGTCAGCGAGCGTGTCCGTGTGTGTCTCCGTGTGCCCGCCCGCGTGTGCGCGCCTCTCTCTGTGTGTCTGTGTGTCCGTGTGTCCCTGTGTGTGCCCGCCCCCGGCCCCGCCCCGGCGCTGCCAATCACCCGGCGGCCGCTTTGATGTCGCAGCGCTCGCCCGCCGCGCCGCCGCGCTCGCAGTCGGACCGGGCGCTCCGTGCTCCGCCAGCCGCCGGCGCCCGCTGCTCCAGCCAAACTTGCCGGGGCTCGGAGGGCGGGGGGGCGGCGGCGGCACGGGGGGGCCCGTGGAGCCCGGCATCCCGCGACGCCTGCCCGCCCGCAGCCTGCCGAGCCCCCCGCGGGCCGCCGGAGCGGGGAGGGAACAAGGGGGGGTGAAGAAAAGAGTGGCGAGGGAAAAGCAATTCTAGTTGTTTGTTTTTTTTTTTTTTAAAGGAAAGATTTAAAGGGAATTTGGAAAGGGGGAACAAAATTAAAGGGAGGAAAAAAGTTTAAAAGTTAAAGGAAAGGAGGAAAAAACTTTAAAGAGAAAAATTGAAGAGGGAGCTAGTTTTTGTTTTTAATTTTTTTTTTTTTTTAAGAGGAGGAAAAAAAAATAATTGAGGGAGAGAAAAAAAAAATACTAATTGCGAAGGGCTTGATCCGGGAGAACAATACTCGCCGGGAAAGTTGCTGCGCGGCGGGGAGGGAGCGGCGGGAGGAAAATGCCGCAGCTGGGCAGCGGCGGCGGGGACGACCTGGGCGCCACGGACGAGATGCTGGCCTTCAAGGACGAGGGCGAGCAGGAGGAGAAGATCCCCGAGAACGCCTTCACCGAGCGCGACCTGGCCGACCTCAAGTCCTCGCTGGTGAACGAGTCGGAAGGCAGCGGCAGCCCGGCCGCCGCCGCCGCCGATGCCGAGGTGAGCCGGGCCGGAGCGGCCCCGCACGGCGGCCCCGCGCCCCCCGCCCCGCGCGGCCCCCGCCCCACGCCCCCGCGCTGCCCCTCTCTCTCCTCCCCGTGCAGGCCCTCCGGCGAGTGCAGGATCCGCAGAGGGTGTACCAGGAGAAGCTCCCGGACCACATGGATGATGGTTAGTCACAGCAACCTCCGCGTGTTTCTGTGCGTCCCCCTCTCCCCGTTCCCGGTTCCTGTTGGTCTTCCCCAGTGCGCCCCGTCTGGTCCCTCGGTTCCCCAGCCCATCACTCTGACACCCCTGGGAGTGAGGGATGCTAGCCTGGTCACCACAGCCCCCAGCGGGAAAGCTATTTCTGATAGCACCTAGGCTTCCCAGTGTCGCCACTGTGGGAGTCTGCATCCTTGGGGGACCCTGGCACTCCCCATCACCTTCTGTGAGGAGTACGGGACAAAAAGATGCCCACAACATGCTGTAACCTCTTTGGGGACCCCTGACAGGTGGAGGAGTCGCCTGTCATAAGACAAATTTTGACAGGGAACATTGATTTCAGCAGGTATGAAACATCAGGACCCAGGGATGTATAAAGGATCTGCCTATTCTGGTTACCCTTTTCTGATGCTCTCAGATCCGTATCTGCCCAATGGATCTATGTCACCTCTGGTGAGTTCCTCCTCTCCGTATGGAGAAGTCTTGTGGCCTCTTTCACTGCTGAAGTATGTTGCAGGTATTGTGCAGGCACCTACACATGCTTTTTTCTTGACAAATTGGAGCCCAGTTTCTGAAATTGCTGGACACTGTTCTGTCCAAGCCAAAAGGAAAAGCAGTGGGTAGGGGGAGAGATGCTTGTCAGGAAGCGCCTGCTTCGCTCTGAGTTTGCTGGAGGAGCTGCTTTTCCAGTCTCCTCATCCTCTAGGTTTGGCTTTACTCTTCCAGCAGTCAAATCCTAATATCTCATGGAAGAGTGTCTCTTCCTTTTTCTGGGTTATGGGCTTTGGAGGAAGCAGCTCCTGGTCTTTGTGTTTGTGTTCAGGGATATGTTCCGCAGCTGAGCTTGTGTGTTAGGGCTCTGTTGTGGATGATGGCCCAGAAAATGGATCTTGTGCCTCTAAAATGGCAATAGAGGTTTTCAGGAAAAGGCTTTGTGCTGCTGGAGGACTGTTCCCATCTCCCTCCTGGAAAGTTTTTCCCTCTCAGTTTAAATCAGCTTTAGAAATTCTGTATGTTCTCATGTTTCTAAGTTTTGCCATCTGAATGATAAAACTAAAGCTTCTTTACAAAAGCTGTCTTTTCCCGCCACCATCTCGATCAGAACTTGAGAAAATAATGTCCTGACATTGCAGCAGTCAATGCTGGTGTCACTCCTGGGAGCCGGCACTGCTGCGTTTGTTTCAGACATTGTTCCGCATTAGCCGTCAGAAAGTGAGGACAGAACGTAATCTGGTTTATTTCAGTTTCAGGATTTAACCTTTAAAGGGATAAAGTTTAAAAGAATATGTAAACGTGTCCTTAATTCTGGTCATTTGCTCACAAGTGGCGTAGGATGTCAAACTGGTGTTATGGAAAATGGATGGATTGTGGAGTATCAAACTTAGAATTATTTGTGGAAATCGGTGCCGTACCCTCATGCCTGACCCAGCTGGCCTGAGTAGCAAGAGTGCATCAGCCTGCCTGTATCCCAAACAGCTTTTCCTAGGAGATTCACTTTTCCTGGCTGCAGACTGCTGGAACTTTGCTGAAGTTTGCAGAGATCAAGGATCTATCCCTAAATTTTTAAGTCTTCCTTCAGTTTACAGCAAGAAAAGATGTGTTTGCAGGGCAACGCACACTTACGTTGTTGTATCCCAAATAAGCATTTCTTCTGGTGCTTCCCACCTTATCCAGGTACCAGGTATCCCCCTCATTCCCCAAAATATTAAGCTGTTCTCTTCCTGATAAACTTTAAATGTTTTTAAATTTGCCTTATGTAAACACACTTAATTTGCTCCCCGACAGAGAATTTGAGTAAGTCCAGAGTTCCATCAGTCCAGCATCTTTTTGCTATGCTGGGATATTTCTTTTAATCTTAAACTATTCCTAGATGGGCAGCAAAGTGCAATGGCCTATTTACCAGCACCTAGGCTATAGAGTAGATTGTGGTTTAGGAATCACCTTTTCCCTTGATAACAGAATAAAATCCGAGCAGTTGCTGTCAGAGCAGCCGACAGGAGCAAATGAACTGTGCAGAACTGGAAGGGGAGAAGATATAAGTAGCAGAGAAGGAATGATCCCGTCCCCTTGAGGGCCATCAAAATCATCCAGTGCCTCAAACACCTTCCTTTAGGCCGGCTTGGATCCTGCCATGGTTTATGAAGAGCTGATTTGATGTTTTCAGTTAAAAACCTGGCTGACAGGGGAAGATTCCTTCCTCATGAAGAAGGCTGGTCTTGCATTTTTTCAATTTATTACAGTAACTATTTCAATATATCATTCTGGACAATTTTGTCTTATATTTCTATTGACTGTGCGAAGATTATCATGGTAAATTATGGGTTGCTCTCATATAGATTTATTGCTGCTGTGTACATTATATAAAGTGTGGGCTATAATCTGGTGGCTGCTTCCAATAATCGAGGAGGTCAGATCTGTGACCGAAGATTGCAGATACTTAACCATCCATAAAAGTGTATTTAATTAACACTTTAGCACGAGTCAGGGAGGAGGGTTGTGTGAGTGAATAGGATTAGGTATCACAATCATGCATGCACTTGATAGTGGAGATTGTATTTTGGTTAATGAGGCTTCCTGGAAACAGTTGTTTGCAAGTAGGATTAATTTTAGAATCTTAAAAAAAAAAAAATCAATTAAAAAATTAAACCAGGAGTACTTTGGCAAACTGTCAGGGCTTTACACTGAAAACAGTAATTTACCTGATTGAAAACAGAGTATAACTCCCTGAAATATACAGAGCAGCTGGCATTGAGGCTTGGGCTGAACCCCTGCCCTGCAACGCTCTGTAAAACCACATTTTTTTCGGTGGGCTCCCCACGAACCCTGTGGGGGAGCTGTGAGTGGCTCTGGACTGGCTCCAGCGCCTGCCTGGCTGGGTGTGTTGCTACCAGCAGTACCGAGGTGCTGCTCTATCTCCTATTTTCTTTCTGATTTTGTCAGCAGCACCACTTCTGCTTTGTTTCCCTCAAGGTGTTTGTAGCCACTAACTGTTACGCTGCTCACCCGAGCATCCTGCTCAGGTCCCCACATCTCCCAGCCAAAATTGCCTCTTTTTACCAAAACACACCCAGCCATGTTACTGACGTGCTCTGAAGATGGCTGGGTAGCTGCCCTCAGCCCGGCTGATGCTCCCTGGAGGGCAGCAGCAGAGAGGGTGGCAGGAGCTGCCTGCAGCAGGGTGGCCCTCCTTGGCTGAAGGTGGCCCATGCCAGTGTGGGATGATTCAGCTGGAGAGCTGCTGGTTGGGGCAGGCACAGCTTTCCTAGACTGGCAGTGGAGCTGGGGGCCTGGGCAGGCTGCAGGCGCTTTGGAGCTGAGGACAAGGCAGAGGGCTGAGCCCGGGTGTCCCTTGTTCTGGGAGCTGTGTGTGCCATCAGCTGCTGGGCTGGGGAGGGCACACACAGTCAAGGGTATTTAAGAGCATCTTGGCACAGCCTGTGTGTGCATCTGAAATCCTGGCACTCTGCAAGGCCCCAGGAGAGCCATCTCTCACCTGGCTCTCAGGTGTTGTGTGTGTGGTCTTTCAAGGCTCCACTTTATCCCATCTTATGCAAAGTCCAGCTTTTCCCAGAGTGAAATATATAGGACTTATGGTTAAAAATCTGCAAGAAACTTCCAAAGAATGCGAACAAGTTGAGGAACTGTTTTTCTAAATTAAATATAAAATCATAAAACTATATCCTTTTTTAAATAGTACAAATGACTTTAAATCAAATTAAGGTACATCCTTAGTAAGAACAGCAGCCTTTTAGGTGGTTACAAACATTAGAGGTCAGACATGGTCAAACATGTTAACACTTTGATCAGATTAAAATATTTTTCTTGCTACAGTTGTATAATTGAGTTTAGACCTGAGGGGGTTTTCTGAACATTGTTATATCTTGTACTATGTGGTAGTTAAATGGTAAAAAGAGCTCTTGTAAGTTCCTTTAAGTTCTTTTCGTAAATAGGTTTATAAAATAGGGGAATGAGCCATGCTGCCCTGTATATAGAGCAGGAGGTCTCCCTGCTGCCATTGATGGGAGAGATTTCAGGGGAGCTCCTCACATTTTCTGTGTACTTCATATGTGTTTGGCGAGTGTGTGAGGAGTGTAAAGGCAGGATGAAAATGTTCTGGGTGTAAAGCTGAGGCACTGGACTTTCTGTCTGTGTGAGAAACAGAAGTTCAAGAGCTTCTTTTTCTTTGGAAAACAGACACTACCTAATTTTCTTAATTACTAAGTTGTCAAACCAGAGCTTAAAAGGGAGCAGAAGAGTGGGGGTACCTCTCCAAGCCCTGCACAGCTGAAGTCCCCAGATAAGACAGCAGAGCTCACAATAATGTGGCTTTTCAGAGCCTGGTCCCTGTAGTCTGCTGGGCTCCTTGAGTTTGTTCAGAGGGTATGAAATGTCCCCTTGGGCAGGGCAAGATGAAAGTGCAGTTACTGCTGGCCTGGGGCCACAGGGCCCAAATGTCTAACACAAGGTCAAAAAAGCATGGAGCTGCAGTCTGGGGCTGCTCTTCAGTGGACAGAAGCTGAAGCAGCAGCAGCAGCAGCTGAGGCACAGGACATGGCTGCTTCTGCTGCATCCCCTCCCCAAGGCTGCTCCATCCCTCTGCAGGAGGACACTGTGGCCCCTACAGCAGCTGGCGGAAGGAAATCTGCAGCTCCTCTGTTCCTCTGCCTCTCTGTCCTGACTTTCACTGTCAGGGCAATATTTTAGTATTGCTTTTTCCTGTGTTGGGTTCTGATCTTGTTGAAACCAGTGGGAAAACTCCCCAGAGTGTCCGTGCGATGGGGATTTGTCGCTGTGAGAGGGCGGCTGCGTCCCCCTGCAGATGTTATGTGTGGAGGGAGGGAGGGAGGCAGCTGGGAGCCAACAGGAGCTCTGTGTGTTCCCAGCAGTGCCTGCTGCTCTGGGAGAGCAGCATCCCAGCCAGGTTCCCTGGCAGCAGGGCTCACACCTCTCCAGGAGGGTTCCCTGTCCCCAGGAATTGTTACATTCCCGGCACACAGCGTTAGGAGTGCAGTGCTGCTGATGGACCTTCTGGCAGACAGACAGATGAGTAATTTGTTCCCTCCTGACCAAAGCAAATCCACTTCTTTCAGCTCTTCTACCTAGCTTGAAATAAGATAATATTGAAAATAATGTTTTGTGTTAAAGCACAGTTTTGGATATGTGGATGTACCAAGGCACAGGGCTTACGAGGTCATTTATTGCATGTCTCATTCAGTCTTGGTTTCCCCCAAGGAAAATTCTTGTGTTAATTTCTGAGTTCATATCACACCCTCAATTTTGAAGCAGAACTTCCCTTTGAAATAAATTAGAGAGTTCTGCTTAAGAAGCAGTGACATGATACAGCACTGGATGTGTGTGGTCTAATATAACCTTATTTTTAAAATTGTTTGGAATGAAAAAAAGAGAAAGCAAAATGTCACAGGGAAACAAAAGCAAGTTTTATGTAAATCTGT